GCTGGGATACTGCCAGGGCGCCCACACCTAGACAGGAGGACGATTAGGGTCCTCAACCAAAGCCTTTGGCTCAAAAGCCTAACCGCAAGGCAGCGGTGTTTGGCGGGAAATGCAAATGCATTACCATTTCTACGGAACAAGTCGCCACATGTTCCAACCCCCAACCTGGAGGGCCAGGAGACTGTGTTTGTCAGACCTCTAACCATTGACCAACCTGGTATGAGAGACTCTGTGAGTGTCGCGAAACACTCTCCAGTATAGCTCAATGGATCGCTGAGGTGCGCAAACCGTCACACCACGGTAAGGTCCAGTCTCTTCGTGACGGATAGTCCAGTATAAAATAAAAATTATACTTCCAGAAGTGTCACGAAGGAGGTCGTTTCTAACATAGCTACAAGCTGATTACCATGGTAGTGTAAGTAAGGGGAAAACACCAAGATGACGAAAAGTTTGTCTGATTTCATCCATCCTGAAACACTATTGGATATTTGAGTGGCATATCTGGCTATGCGATGAGAATTACTCACCTGAAACCGTTCGGCAACTATGAAACAATTAGCTCAGCTTGTAGTTACATTGTCGAGATAGCTCAGCGGTTAACGCACGGACCGCGACCACGGAATCACAGTTCGCACCCAACCCCCGCAACTCGACTGCTTCTCTCTAGGCTTGGGCTACCTGACAGCTTTTCAGTCCTCGCGCTTTCTCCGGATATTATGGTGGCCAGACACAAAAAGGGCATTTCGAGTGAACGAATATTTTCATTTTCCTACATTATTGTGCACAGTTTGAGGACAGTCTGTCGAACAGTTCAATAGAAAAGTGACAATTAACGTCGGATCGGGTTTAAGAAAACGGAAGGAGTTGCAGATCCTCCGCTCCAAGTGTAGAATTTGGGTAACTAGTATCGATTCGTTTTTGCTGTTCATTGTAGCTGAGAAAAACGGGATACCAGAGATCCAATACAGACAAATGGAACAACTTCCTTGAATAATGAGTGCCTGACTGAGAGTCCATTCGCTTATCATACAAAACTACGAAGGTGATCGATCTTCCTGAATAGAAACCTGTCACCCGGAAGGCACCAGTATAACCCGGTCCCATAGGTGTCTGCCACTGAAGGGTATGCGTCTACAACTGTGGCTGACAAATCTTTTTGTTTTTACTTTCAGTTCGGCGAAGCAATGAAAAGTTGAAGGACCCGACAAAGTTAATCACCCACTGGATAATTTTTTCTCTTGTTTATTTCCCACGGCTTTGCGCCGGATTTCCACGCTATCAGATTATTTTCATTGATGTATTACTAAACACTTTTGTTTGCAAGATGATGCAATAAACATGATAGAACACTCCAGGTTTGGCTTTTAATGTAGACCGAGGAAACTTTACCTATTAGATCAACTTCAGAACGGCCGACCGTCATTTTACCAACAAATCATGATAATATGATGAGTTCTAGTAATTTGTCACACATATGACGCAGCAAAGGCTACTCATCCCTGCGCTTTGCAGAAAATTACCGTCAAGCAATAAAAACCTGATTAAACTTGGTCGTACACGTCAATTAGACAATAATAATGAAAAATGTGACAGAGGGGAAGACCTAGTGTTAGCCTATAACGAACATCCGAGGTGGCTACACCATCACTATCAGTGTTGACAATGATGCTTCACTGCCTCTAGCACTCAGTCAGAGAATCCGTATAGAAACTGACAGTACAAACACCACATACATCGGTTAGCCGCTATATGCTTCAGTGCCCCCAGTCAAACGCGAGAAGGCTAACGTGGACATCGTTCTAGAAAGCGGACAGCACCAAAAGCACCCAGACATATTCCATTTCCGTCTGCCGCGTCGGATGATTTTCACCTCCGCCACATAGCAAAACTTATTCGACGGAACACTGCTCCGTCATCCTCAAAGCCACTTGTAATTAAAACGTAGTGCGAAAATAACCTTTGAAATTCAATGAGCAACTTTCCGCACCACAGGTCCGAAGGAACAAGGCTGGAACTAGGCGCTGCGATGAAATAAGCTGGCCGTCCAAACGACCAGTTGACATGATCACACCAACGGGCACGGTACTTGCGGGGATAAAACATGCACCCTGTCCATCGAAAATACTACCTACGCTCAGACATGACGGGATAAACCCCATTTCTGACGTTACAGAGGGGTGGAAATTCATCTATGAAATGCTGCACTGACTCCAGAATACACTGATACTGCGTACTTTACATTACGACGGCCGTTTTGCGTGCATTATTGCAGTAATGCATGCCCAAGTTTCTCAACAATCTTCATCGTAATCACAGCTTTCTGGATATGCGGACGGAGCCCGTAAGTTCTACTGGGAAGACACGGTCGGAGGCGACGCGAAGGTTGTTTCGAAGGAAAAAGCTCACCAGACTAATCTAAAACGTACTAGCACAAAAGAAAGAGGAGAAATCGCACTGTTCCCGAAATTGCCTGTCTAATCAAGCCGCCTGTCAGAAGCGAAAAATGAAGCTTCTCATAAGCTTAGGATTCATTTCAGTAGTGGCCGTCGGCCAAATACCAACATCAATCATAATGTAGCAGTCCACAGCTTTTGCCTGTGACTCATGCTATGCGAATCATTAGACCCGGTACACATTCCAAACAACGGATGAGCGACTGCCATGCTGAACTAGGTACCTCAAAATCCATAATGTAACGGCCACCATCGCAGGTCACCTAATCGGTGCGAATAAGAGCCTTGGCGGCTGAATAGCTCGTAATTTGTCGTGTCAATCATCCCGAGGTCCTACCAAGAAACACCCACAATGACCTAAGCTATCGCTTTTGGATCGGGTAATGTCTAGGCGCGTCATCGGCGTCAATTGAAAGCACTGACTGTGTATCGGCTAAGCACCCCACTCCCACCAGCTTCAATCAAGTTGTATAAGTAAACCCATATCCTCACGCCTTCGGACAGCATTCGTGAACTGCCATGCAACGCATTTTATCCATAATTACAAGTGTAGCGAAAGACACCTTTTGAAAGACAACCGCAAAAATTACTTATACTTGATGCTCTGGATTTTTTTCAAACTACTTACTTTCCTAACCACGATCATCCCTGAAATATGACTAGAATTACTTGTCTTTCCTGAAGTCGCAATGAATGAAGTGCGCGTGTTGTAAATGTCTAGTGATCAGGACAGAAGACGAAACCAGATCTCAGTTGAATCAGGCAAACAAGAAAGAGCTGAAAAATGTGTCATTATTATCAAATTCCGCAGGAAATCCCAGGTGAATCGATAAGCGACTCAGTTACATAGGTCTATCACAATCCAATCTTTATGTAAAAAAACTGTCACAATACTTGTAAGTATTTTTTATCGTTAAATGAACGGAGAACACGCTGGAGGAAGCAAGTGAAACTCAGTTCGGAGAAAAAAACACGCCAAAGTTGGCCACAGGAATGATTACCACGGAGACGGAAACATAGATTCCGGGGAAATCCGCAGACACGTCCTGGGGATACGTCAGGAGCTAGCCGCCGCGCGTGAGCGCATAAATTCTTGAACTTTCGCCTCAAGTACGGCCGAAACGGACCGATGGATTTGGGATTTCTCCTCCAGAACTGGAGCGATTTCTTGAATATGTTTATCAATGTACTCAATCCGCCTATTAAAGTGCTCCTCTGCCTGTTCAATTGTCTAGACAATACAGAGATAAATCACTGAAAAAACTCACCATCTCCGAGTAATAGCCTGTGCCAACATCTACAATAACGTGGGCAGTATCTGTCAGCTTGCCAGGTACACACAGAGTTGATGTAAGAGGGACTAGTATGTCACCATTCTGTGATTCGGGGGTAAATTCCTTCAGGCAGTTTTTTGACGAAGCAAACTGGCCCTGAAGTGCTTTTAGTTGTTGCACGGAAGCAGTAATCAGTTGAATTTTCTGCTCATACTGGCGAGTGAGCTCTTGCAGCTGCGGTATGGACAAATCGCTGATATTTACTGTATCCGAGGTCATTGGTAATAGGGTGTACACAAGAGCGATAAGTTAAAATACAGTGGGCTGAAACATAAGGCAGAAATTTCAGTGAACTGATATCAACCAGATCACAACGTGATCATACACTACCCACTCGAAGTGTGATGTGCATGGATATATTTCGTGGACAATCGCACCAGATGGCTCACTGGTTAGAGCGCGGACTTACTGATCGGAAGTTCCGTGGTTCAAATCCGACCTCTGCATCTCGACTTCTTCTGTCTAGGCTTGGGCAACCTGGCAGTATCCCATCCCTGGTGTGGCGTGGTAGATTGGCGCCGAAAGCCGAACGATTTTTTCCATTTTTTACAGTCGCGCCACTTATCACGAAAGCATTAATTCTAAAGAGGTCAAGAACTCTGCTATCTAGTAAGCAGAAAACTGAGCTTCACAACCCACTGAAGTATTGCTACATCACAACCAACACAAAATAAAAATCGGTAAATCGGATAATCCGAACCAATACTGTTCGCGTTGCTCGGTTCCAGACGAACACGAGTATGACCCGTTCGAAATACAATCAATGCAGGCAGTTTAGCAGTGGATAATACTGTAATGATCCACAGACAACCACGTAATTCTGTAATGTTATTCCGCTACAAGTACAAGACTGGTCAACCAATTTAAGCAAAGAAGAAAATGGCCTGAAATTAGGTTTTGTCTGGCACTAACCTAGGCGGCACGCAAGCCTTCACATACGACAGTAATAATGATAATAATATAATCGCTCGGCTGCCACACCTTTTCGTGAGCTAGCTATCAAGCCACCCAAAGGAAGCACTAGGGCTGAGATACTGTCAGACTGCTCAAGCCTACACAAGAGCAGTCGAGATGCCGGGGTTGAGTTCGATCCACCAAACTTCCGGTCAATAGGTTCGCGCCCCTCAACCATCTCGAGTCTTCGCACACAGCTAAAGGTGCAGCCCGTGATACTGATCGGTGCAGGTGGAACAAAACAAAACGACGCAGTTCATGAGGCTCTATTATCTGCTGACACTTGGTACTCCCATAGATGAGAGCTCTGAGCTATCTGTTTTTTCGGGGTGTAATAACGATGAAACGCTTCACAGGAGGGTTGCTCGAAAATGATGACGATAGAGGAACACTCGTTTGAAGAAACTGCGCCATCAGGTGGCCGAATAAGCCTTCCTGTAAGCAAGGGAAAATTCACCACAAGTTGAGGTGTAACAACTGGATGGCACCAAGTAAACGGCTGACTTGATGTGTCGAACTTGGAACACAGACGCCTGGCTGTTTGGAGCACAGTTGGATCGACGCGATTTGACACAGTTATATGATTTCTGCTAACGTGATCAAATCAGAAAATGAATCACTCGATATTTTATCGGACACGATGAAAATGCATTTGCGGTGTTCCAAATTTAGCTTGATTGGGAGTGATAAGCCTTGCCGGGACGAGGTGGCTCAAGTGGTTGGAGCACGAATTTACTGACCGGAAGGTCCGTGGTTCGAACCCGACCTTAGTGTCTCGACTTCCCCTGTCTGGGCTTGGGCAACCTGCCAATATCCCAACCCTCGTGCTTCCTTTGGATGGCATGGCAGCTAGACCCCGAAATGGGCTACAGCTGGAATCTGCAAACATGTGATTTACGAGATACCCGGTGCTCTTTGCCCATGAGATAAAAACTGAGCGGTAACAGGTTGTCGAGATGGAGGACCCAAGAAGCTGTTAGATACTCAGCTCCCTTAACACCACCGGATAGTGTTTCGTCAGTATTTGGAACGCAAATGAGCAAGTCGTCACGGTTGCCAGTTTTCAGTTAACACAATCGTACACTGCTTGATGTATATCCGGCCATATGAAGTGATAAAGACTCCAGCCTCAAGTGGCTTCTCTGTTTCCAGTGAGTTGATAGCTGGTGTTGAGGCGGCATTTGCCCCTTCGCAGTGACTTCCCTATCTACTTGGAGATCATCATCTTCAGAGGTCGCAGAGACCGGACCTTACAGTGTTGTGACGGTTTGTGTACTTCCACGATCTATTGAGATATACTGGAGGTGATCGTGCGACACCCGCAGAGTCTCTCAGACCAGGTTGGTCAATGGTTAATGGTCTCCTGCCCCTCTAATTTGCGTTGAAACATGGTTTGGCGAGTAGTTCGTTGAAAAAGCATTGCACTGACATTTCTAGACAGTTTAGCCAGATGTTTGAGTAAACGCTTTGATTGAGTACCCTAATCATCTTCCTGCATTGGTCTGGGTACCTTAAAAGTGCTCCAGCTCAAGTACAACCATGATTCCCACAGTTCAGAATAACGTCCTGGTACATCGGCCGTCGCGTGGCGTCATCAGCTAGGTTGCCTCACTTGCTGCAGACAGCAGGGTGGGTAAGCAAAAACAAGTTCTGCTGACGAAAGATTTCATAAATTTCCTCCTCTTCACCCACCCCATTATTAAAACTCTCCTTGTAGGCCCATCATTTAGGATCAATGACCCCGTTAGTTTTGCACCTGCCTTGGCCCCAACAGCTGCGCGTCAGCCAGCGCCGACAGCCTCAGGCATCTCGCGATCAATCTTCAAGTTTCAACGGTTGGTCGATCCGGTAGTTTTTAGTGCTCACAATGAGGCAAGCGGGACAAGCTGTTCTTGCGGACATTGGTCTCGCTTGATATTGAAGTATACTTCACTTAAGAAATAAGAATTCAAGAAGCAAGCGCACTTATTGAGCTAACTTCCCCCATTACTCTTTATTGGCTTCAGGCTAGCAGCTCTATCGATCTAGGGGACGTGGCAGCAAGATATGCAAGCGTCGGCCCATCCTAAGTCACCAAGGGACGGACGCCCGTTGCTAAAAAAAATAATAATCGTTCAGCAGTAGCGCCTTTTCGGTGCCATGCCACCCGAAGGAAGCACGAGGGCTGGGATACTGTCAGGTTGCCCAAGCCTAGACTGGAGGAGTGGAGAGGCAGGGGTCGGGTTCGAACCACGGACCTTCCGGTCGGTAAATTCGCGCTCTAACCACTTGAGCCATCTCGCCCCCCCCCCAAGCCCGTTGCTAGTTGTCTCTGTGCGGCTCGTTAGACAAAGTCCAAAAGGGGATCTCAAAATCGGGAAGCTGATCGTCATCTGTCGGTCTTGTCTGCTTGTGCGCCAACCAACTATGGGACGCTGAGACCATCACAGATAACTTACATGGCATTTGGCTGTCTTGTTGTGGGTGGCCCAAAGTTCAGATATCGCTGTGGTCGCCGGAGATTTGGATGCATCCGAGGATCAACTTGGTGATCGGCGTGGATTGGACTCAGCACGTACAGGCAGTGGCGGACAAGTGATTGGGCTATATGCTGACAACAGGCTGCTTTTATACAGTAATGACCTGAAAAACGGATTCGCCTGGCCATATGGTATCCTACAAAAGCGCGCCAGTCACGAACCCAAATTGATCATGTCTTCAGTCACCGATGGCTCGGATCAATAACTGACTGCCGCTCGTTTTGGAGCTCATTTGTGGATTCCAACCGCGCGCTCATCCAGAACCCCTTACGGCTTAAGAGGTCTATGTCTGCACATGTCCTCTCAAGCGCCACCGGGGTCCTGGTCCGGATGACCCACCCGTGTTGTTCAAGGATGAGAATGAAATCCTCAGTCAGAACTTATCTGATCCCTTTGCTAGCATTTTGGGAAATTCGACTGTTCCAGACAATTGGCGATAGTGGCCATTTTCAAAAAGGAGCTCGTGGTGAGTGTAGTGACTACAGATGGATCAGACTGACCGCAGTGATAACGGAACTGTTGATGTCACTTCTCCCTTGTAGGCTAATGGTGACTGGTGAAAAACCGACTCGAGAGCTTCAAGCGAGATTCCGGCCAGGTATGTGTTGTGTTGACCCAATCTTCACACTCCGTCAGGTGCTAGAACAGCTTCGTACTTACAAACAGCCCACAATTTTAGCATTTATGGATTCCCAAGCAACATTCTACTCGGTTGACAGGTTTACTCTCCTTGACACTGTTGCCAATCAAGAAATGCCCCGGAAGTTTGTAAACATAATTTCTTTGTGTTCTCAAACTTTCCGGCGTATTAGAGTATATGGAGAGCTTTCCAAAAGCTTCCGTCAGGGCTGCTCAGTCCATCCATTCCTATTTCATTCAGTTATGCACAAGATAATGAGAGGAACGACGGAAGCTATTCAAAAACCTGCCATTCGAATAGCCTCTGACGGAAACATTGTCATCATGAAATACACAGATGATATCGTTTTCACTATCGAGAGAGCGCAGGTGTTTTTGAATGAACAGACCAAAACTATCCCCCGACCTTTGGTGGTATCAATCAATCAACCTATCAATATACCAGCCATAAACCGTGTGCCATTGACACGATGGTTCCAGGTGCTCCAGTTTCGATCAATGGAAAGTGGGGAAGTGGGGGACACACCGCAAGGTTTTGCAGGCGGTGGCATATTTGGTTAGTTCGGGAACTGGGAAGCTACGCTTTGAATGCGATAGCTTCGATGCCCGAGCACCAATGACTGCGCAACTGGGCTGTTTATGCGTGTCATCAACCATTGATGAGTTGAGTCCCGGGGTCTCCATCCAGGGAGGCAGTTGTCGGCCCAACCAAGTTCACTGATTAGCGTCTTCATACTTCGTTGCTAGGTCATATGCTGTCAACCTCTCAGGTGCTTTCGCACAGAACAGGGCTGGGCAAAGTGAGCACTGCGAAGCAGGCGGGCACATGGCATCCAGAGAACACGTCCTAACCAGTGTAACCTAAAAAGCGTGAGTAATCCACCTATGTCGGGAGAGTTCCTCCCTCCTAGGATCGTCTGGCGTACCTTAGCATTACTAATCCGATGACCCTATCGGACTCAAAGGATGTTTAGGAGACACTGAGGGTCAAACACTGACATTTTTCGTATATCCTCTGCGCGTAGCGGCGACATTTCTGATCCACAAAGCCCTTGACAGACAAACTGACGTCACAGCGGCGCTAAAGGTGCCCGAGTATGGTAAAAC